CTGTTGCTGCATGCGTCCCGCCCCGCATTCCCACCACTCTCCTCAGAATGAATTCACTCAAACCCCATTGTTTACTTTAAAAAAATGTTGACAGCACATTCGAATATGCGAAGCAAGTGAAATGGCTGAATGTTCTCAAGCATGCCATCATCTTCCGCTCCTCACATCATCACCACCAGTGGTATGATGACAAGCAAGTTGACGACGACGACGACCAAAGGAAGGAGACACCTTGTATGCGCTGATGCACCTGACGACAAACCATTAATCAAACACTTGCGCTTGTGCTCTACGCCCATCATCATGAAGCACAAGTGACTTACTTGTGACCGTGGGCTTTGCCGTGGTAACTGTGCAAAGGAAATATGTAATCACAATCACCTCCTCAATGGGTGCATCAGTGTGCATAGGTAGGGACAATGAACAATGGAAAAGGGAGGCAGTGAATCAACTCACCTGAGGAAGTGGTCGCGGCTCGACCGCACCAAGTAGAGCCAACAAAGCATGTCATGGTGAAAGTAAGAAGTGCAGATTGCAGGGGTGGAAGTGTGCACTTTGGAGGAGTTAGAGGAGGCAGACTTACTCACAGTCCCACCGCAAGTAGCTGCCCAAACTGTTAGTTGCAGAGCGGGTTACGAGTGTCGAAGGAGGCACAAAATGCTAGGTGTTGTCATGCAGGTGTCAAGCGTGTAACAGCGGTTTGCAACCACGAGGCGGCAGTCTCACTACCACTGCAGCTTGGACACGCACGCACTTACTATCGCATTCCGTCCATTCTTGTAATTCACCTACACCAATGCAATGCTCTCGTTACACCTGAGTGCCTGCAGTTGCATGGGTGACCCACATGCCCACGTGCATCGCACGGGGTTTGCTACCCTCTCACCATGGAATGCGACTGGTCAAGGTATTGCAGTAGAAGAGGATAAGGAGAACAATGGAAAGTAGGCCTGCCTTCTCAGTGTGGCCAGTGACTCACCTCCTTGCGTCCAATCGACGGTGACAACTAGGCATTGAGTTGGTCTACACCATTGATAGGCAGTGTTTTCCTCACTCTTGTTCCGTGGAAAATTGCCCAAAAACTTGGTCACACCGGAGTTCTCATCCCGCACCAGATACTCTGAAGTGGGTAATGGCAAACAAGAAATCTTACTGCATAACGGTGGTTGTTCCAGTATAGGTCTGGTGCCTGTCCACACACACATAATTTCGTCGTTGATGTAGAACACGACCTGCGGTTGGAAGGGGGACACGCGATAAGGTTGTGAGTAAGTGAGGTAGGTGAATGTGTGAGCAGGTGAATGAAGTAGGAAGTAATGAGGAGGAAATCTGATCATACCTGATCTTTGGGGCCTGCGTTTCGTATACCGAATTCTATTTGCACATCTGAGTACCCCTTCCGAAATCGGGACAGTGGAAACGACGTGGCCAAATCGATGCCAGCTGTGTGTAAATGAAGCTGACGACTTTACTTTCCACCACTCCTCGAGCAGGTACAAAGGGACTCAGAGGTGAAATGAGCTACCTAACCCACAATGCTTATTGCAAATGGTCGAATGGAAATCATTTGCACTAAATGCTGATGTTGAATAATTCGTGCCATTGCGTCGTCAACTTCAACCACTCACCTGGTCCGTAATCCGGCAAAGTACAATCCGGTATGAGGTACGTTGTCGAGAAGGGCAACTTTCCTTTCTTCACTTGCAGTAAACTGTCACGATCTATCTTGAAGAGAGTGATGTTGGCGCTCCCTACAACATGCACACAAGAGGAGAATGTAAGCCACGAGAGGATGAGGTCCTCCGGTCTTTGCCTCCGTGCACTCACACTGCGCACTGACAAGGACGACATTAAAGTGTAAATCGACATTAAGCATTCCACCTACTACAAGGGCGGGGTGCTGCGTGGCAAGGAGTGGAGGTCGTGAGGTGTCGCTCACCTTCGCTAAGCTCGCAGGGCTCACCCACCATCTTTTGGTTGGCATAGCATTTGTTGTCTCGAATCTCCAACGCGTGTGAGGCACTGTCGCCGATCTGCAATTCTATTGCCTGAAATGCAATGCAATAACGAATGAACTTGGAATCGTACTGCATAAGTGAAGCTGAGAAAAATTGAGATGAGAAGAGTGCACGCAAGTGGATCTCAGAGAAAGCGACCACCATCGGTCTGACATGTTAGTGGTATGGAATAGGCAAGTGGTTTGCACATACGGATCCATTGGGGAAGCGGAAGTACATGGTTGGTGTGGTTCCATTGGACACTGCAACAACGCGAGAACCCCACAGCACCGGATCCGCTTCTGTGACACAAAGGTAAATAC